ATGGATGCCAAACAGGTCTGTTATCATTACTAGAGGCAAAACTCCTGTCCCAACTTATGATTAGAAATTTTTATGACATACAATGCTTGCCCAACATCAATCGTCTGCAAAGTTTGAATCTCTGGAATTGTCCAACGCTGTCGTCGTTCCCTGAAGATGGCCTACCCACTTCGTTGACTTCACTAGATATATACAATTGTAGGAGATTAGAATTCCTACCTCATGAGATGTTGGCCAAATTAACATCGCTCGACTATTTGAGTATAAATGATAGCTGTGATTCAATGAGGTCCTTCCCCTTGGGCATTTTTCCCAAATTGACGACACTTGATATTGGCAATTGTGAGAATCTGGAATCGCTTTGCTTGATTGAAGAAGAAGGAGCGGTTGAGAATCTTAGTCATCTCAATCAATTGGATATCTTCGGGTGTCCAAATCTGGTGTGTTTTCCGCAGGGAGGATTGCCCACTCCCAACCTGACTCAATTGGACTTCTACAAATGCGATAAGTTAAAGTCATTACCTGAACGCATTCACACCCTCACAGCCCTTCAATATTTGTCTATAAGAAATCTTCCAAATCTGGAGTCAATTGCAGAAGATGGGGGTTTGCCTCCCAACCTCCGATCTTTTAGCATTCGTAATTGTGAGAGACTGAGGGCTTCATCTTCAATAGTGGGAGACTACTGTAACTGGGGTTTGCAAGCACTTGTCTCCCTTGACCGATTTGAAATTGGTGGCAGGGGAAGTGATGAAATCTTGGAGACGTTGCTCAAGCAACAGCTGCTCCCAACCACTCTTCACTATCTCAGCATCGAGGAACTTTCAACTCTGAAATCTTTGGATGGAAAGGGACTTGCACAGCTCACTTCTCTTCGAGAACTATTTATTTCTAGGTGTGACAGTCTGGAATTCCTTCCAGGAGAGGCACTTCAACACCTCACTTCTCTTCAAGAGCTATATATTTCCAATTGTCCGAGTCTCCAATTCCTGCCAGAAGAGGGTTTGCCGCCATCTCTTTCTTATCTGAAGATCTTCAGATGTTCTGCCCTGGAGAAAAGGTATCAGAATAAGACGGGACAAGATCATTGGGCCAGCATATCTCACATTCCATGCATCGAGATAAATGATGAAGTCATCATATGATGATATGACCTTCCCTCTCTCTCTCACATAGAGACAAACAAACTCAGGTCAGGTATGTACTTCAAATAACCGCTTTAACTGCTTTTCTTCTAATTCAATACAAAAACTGAAATTCACTATCCAAATTAACCGAAATACACATTTTAAACATTTTTTATTTATTTAATTCATATTCATTTTTGGCTTATAACCAACCACACCATAGGCACACTTTGTCAATAATCGAATCTTCAGTTACTATTGAGCTAGGAAACATTTCAAGCTCAATTTTGTTTTTGTTTTTTTTTTGTTCTCCATTAATATTTCATCTCATTTCTATTGCATGCATTCCCAGCGTTTTGTGAATTACATTGTCACTGCTGCTTACTGGTCTCATGCTATTTTCTGATCAGAAGCATTATCCAGAAAAACACACAAAAACTCAATCATTCATCAATTACAAAATTTTCTTAGTGAATTTCTCTGTAAATGTTAGGATGTTTAATCTGTGTTTAAATTGTCTTAGTGCTACTGTATTTAAATTTCGTTCATGTGTTGTTAGGATGTTTAATCTCTGTTTTGAAATGTTTTTTTTTTTCCTTCTAATGGAAGTATGTGTCTTATTGCTTATTTTGAACTGAAAAAGCCTACTTACAAGTGTGTGGTTCAACATGATGAAAGGGCCACTACTACTCGTAACATGGACTACTTATCTCTTGAAGAATTAGAAATATATGATGGATGCCCAGGTCTGTTCTCGTTACTAGAGACAAAGTTCCTATTCGTGTTCCTATTTGATACGATGCCATTTCCAATTCAGAAATTTTTCAGGTATTACACAACTACATGTTCATGATTCAAATTCAAAACAAAGCACAAATCGGATTCATATAAATCTACCGAATTGAAGTATCTTGTTGGAAATTAGCGTATCAATTGGTTGGAAATTAGTTTTCAATTAGCGTATTAACTAGAGAAATTAGTTTGTTCATATTCTAAGATGAATCTAACGATCCAATTCTTAATGTCTTGAACTTAGGAGTATCTTGTTGAGCTGAGATATGCATGAAAATGGAAAGCAATCGAGTTGCAATCCTCACTGGCTTTTCAAAATCTGATGAGGAACAAAATTATGAGAAAACACATGAAGGTAAAATTATGTTGATCCTTTTCTGTGCCTTTCACTTCCAAAGGGTTTACTTGTTGCAATTATTTGAACTACAGTTCCATTTCATTAGAATTGTTTTCTTTGTTGTATCTCTAGACTCTCTGCGTAAGATCCCCAACTTGACCCCATTTGGCATGCATTGTGTATTTTGAGATTTCAAGGTAACTGCTGCTAATGGAAGCCCTTCTTTCACTTGTTAATTCTCAGGGAATAACAATTTATTGTATGGATTGCCCTCATTTTACATTCTATTTACATTTACAACTGAAGAAAACTAAAGCGCATTGCATGCTCTTTTATGGTAGAATGACCTTATCATCTTCCAACAAACTCAAGAAATGCATGCTCTGATGTGTTGAAGTTGAAGATTTCGAGAAAGAATGAAAGCTGTAGCAGAAAACATAGGGCTGAGATCTCTCCAAGGTATTGCTCCACTCTTTCACAATCTCTGTTCCTTGTATTATGAAGCTTACAGGATTACTCATTACTGACCATCGTCACATGATCTTGTAGGTGATTGTGGAGAGGTTTGCCAATTGACCTTAGTGAAATCAAAAAAGAAAAGTAAGTTTGCTTTTTTATATTTGAAAGTTGGCACCTTTGTTTATATTCTTAGCACTAGACCGTTGCTCAGAACCATCCATCTTAGTCTTTCTGATAATTTACAAGATCCCTTGAAGGCAGTGGAAGGGGCACATGTTTTCTACTAAAGGGATACTTACCGACAGCAATAAACTTAACATCCTTATTATATGCTTTCTATTAGCTCTTTGATTCGAGCTATCTTGTCCTGCAGATAGTTCATTTGTGTTTGGAGGACGGCCTTCATCTGATCTGACCACATGGAAAAGCTCTCCTTGTGTTGTTGAAGAATTCTTCATCTCAAACAAGATAAAGTAATGTTAAACCCTGGGGGGCACGTTGTCGTTTGGTTTTCTTGCAAGAAAACTTTATCGGATGATGATGAAGTTGTTGAGAGTTCCTTTCTATGTAATGCCATATGCAGCCAGTTTGCTGGCCTTTGTCTATGAATCCTTCAAAGACAGCCATGGATTGTTTACTTAAACCTGTTAAAGCTCGTATTGTTGAAGTTCAATTTCCTCTTGTCCCGCATTGAAAGATTGTAGCTTTGTCTATGAATCCTTCAAGGACAGCCAGTTTGATGCTGATTGTTGTTTCCAACAAAAGCTAGTGTTATTCCTCGAATGTTACAAATATTCAATGTTTCCATACATTTTAAACATTTTGACAGTCAAACAGTTTGAAGTTCAATATGAAATCTTCTGAGGCTGTCTATGCTATGGATGAGCTACTCATGTTACCATTATTTCCTTGTTCTGTTTTTATAGATTGTTATGACCCTTCGCTTCCTTGTTCCCATGACAATCACGATATTATGCCTACACTTAAGCAAATAAGAGACTTCGGAGTTGGGATATTATAATTAGATGTTACATGCACGATTAATCATAACATTTCTCTTAAAATTATTGAGCTTTTACAAGCAAAATATGCATGCACTCGCATATTTTTTTGCACTTACAATTGTTGTGCATGGAACTAAATTGACATTGATTTTATTTGAACTGTGTATGTATGTTTTGCTCGCTCAATAATTTTAAGAGAAATGTTAAAATAAGTCTTTCCTTTTATTTTTAATCTCCTGGAAAGTTTACTTACTAGGAATGGGAGAAGTCATGAATCGGGGAACTTTGATAGGTAAATTATGGAATGGGAATCAAATCAATTACTCCCCCTTGTTGATCCCATTCCATATGTTTTAATGCTTATGTTTGGATTCCGATGGTGCTTTAGTAGTAGAAGCACAAGCCTATCTACAGCTTTTTCCTGTTGTGATTTGCCAATATGCTTCCCGTCGTTGTAATCAAGTGGCACATCGATTGGCTAGGCGTGTGTTATTATGTTCAGATTTTCGTGTTTGGATTGAGGGGCCTATGTGGCTGTCAACTGAATTACTCTCTGATGTCTCTGATGTTTGATTTCCTTGATTTTCAGGATCGCTGCTGGTTGGCTTAGTTTTCCATTTATTTGCTCCCCAATCTTTTTTCTAGTTTCATTGCTTTTCTTGTTCCTTGTTTGTTGATCATAATTCAGTCTCTGTTTCATAATTGCTTTTGATTCTTTTATTTTTGATGCATTGATATTGTTCATAACGCAGTTAATTTGGTCTTTTTAGCGTATATATTGATTTTGCTTGTTCTTGATTGTTGATGTTTTGTTGTTCCAGCTTTTGTTGTTTTGGTTTTTGTATTAGAGCAACTCCACCCATTTGCCCTTAGCCATGGCAAGGGGGGAGCTAAGGCAGCCACTATTCACGTGAATAGTAATTGCCCTTGCAAATAGTATTTTCTGTTTCCACCCGTTGCCATGGCAAAGGGAAATTACTATTATTTTTTTATTTTTTTCACAACTTTTTTTACCTCAATAATTAATTTGGATAATATTTTTGGGTTCCTACGTGTCAATACTATTCATATCTCATAATCGGATAAAATGTTCAATTTCAAATTTCAGATAAATTAAAAAAAAAAATTTGGTTGGTATTTATAGAAACAAATTCATTAATTTTTGGGTATTTTTTAAAAAAATTTCCGATTTTTTTCCAGTATTTTATTGCAAAAAAATTGGCTGCCATTGGATTGGAGGAAAAAATCAGATCAGAGAGCCCAGACGACGCCACGTTGCAACAGAAAAAAAAATCAAATGAGTGGGCTAACGCCAGCCTGACGTCAGCACCAGCCTGCGTTTTGGACCTCGGGTTGAACTGGCCTTC